CCGGTTTGGCTGCTGCCCGTTGCGGCGTTCGGAGAGAAGCTGTGCCTGTCTCCGCGCCGGTGCGACTGCGCTGAGGAGGTGGCAGGTCTGTCCGCAGGGTGGTAAGCTTTAGCTTTTCTTTTGTTGTTTTTTTAGTGTAGGGTTGTAAGTGAAACTGCAACGATGTCTGACGCGGGGGTGTGTGTGTGTGATTATAAACGGTTAAAGTGGGGTGCAGAGATGGGAGCAGCATGGTTTTGTCTGCACTATGGATGTATGTGCTTGTTATGTCTGGTAGGCTGGAGCCAGCGATGGTAATTTCCCAAGTGTGAGAGAGTTAAATGCTGTGAGAACTAAATAGTTGTTAAGCTTAAGGGCTTGAGTCTGGTCACGTTTCCAGGCCTCGGGATTGTTACAAATATACAAACTGACTTCTCGGGCTTCTCTGGGCTTAAGTCTCGCTAGTTAAAATAGAAGCAATTGCTGTGAGCAGTGTACAGATGTGCCACCTTAAACAACCTAATTTGAGTGTAGCTTCTTGGATAAATATTTTAAGCTGAAAGGTGAGGGTGGTGTGGTGTGTGTTTACTGTAACTTCTAAAAACTTGATCGTGTTAAGACCTAGTTCCCAAGCGGTGTCTGGGAACATTGCAGATAAAGGTGGTCCTCTGTACTTTAAATCCTTTTCTCTAGTTGCATTTTTCTCTGTAAAGCACAGTTAAAATACATGTGTGATTTACATGTGTCTTCAGACGTTGTCTTAATTTATATTTAATCAGTCAAAGTGTTTATTGATTTCTGTTACTTCAGATTAATGAATTAAGGTGTGTGTGTTTCTCACTGAAGAGAGTTGTGCAGTTTATCTTCTTTCATTGATCACACGATGCTTGTCCTGTTTTATGGATAAAACCCCAGAAATTTGAACAGTACTTGAGATATGGTGCTCTTGTTCAGAGGATAAAAATGTGCAAATAAGACCACCAGTAACACTTGCAGTTGATGTCTTGGAACGTACACAAAAGGCATTTGTATTCCATGAGAGTTGGAACAAATTGAGCCAAATGATGTCATTATTCCATTAAAATCTTTCTTAGTTGGTAGAAGTATGCATTTGGCTGCTTTAAGTTCCTTTTTCATGTGCTTCTTAGTGTAGAGATGTAATTCTGAGGTGTTTTGTTGGGTTTTTTTTTAAGTCAAGACTAGAGAGCATCACATACATATAGAAAGTGAAAGAAAAAAGAGCGTGTGTATTGTAGGAGAGAGAATAAAAAGGACAGAGTAATGCTGGAATGAAAAAGAAATGGCTTGGGAGTACCAGGAGGTAGATGTGTCAGTGTTGCCTATATTTTCTATTAAACCAGGTATTCCTAATCCTCCTGCTTTTTCAAGCAGACCAAGACATCATACTTCCTGTGTTTGAAAGATTGCATCCTGCATATTCTCTTAATTTTTGCAGACCACTTATTATGTGTTATTTTACACTTTTATTTAGTTTGCCTGCTTTACATCTTAAAGTTGTTGGTGTTCCCCATCTGATAGAGTGAAGTCTTATTTTGAAATTATTTAATTTTTATCTATGTAAGAATAGGTAACTTTATACGTATGGTGTCTGCCATAGATTGTATTCTAGATCCTAATTATATACAATAATAGAAGGGCTGAGTGATGTTAATGCAGATGGTATTGATTGTTCTTCCTCTTTCAAACTTGTAAAGAATAGTTGGATGGGTTGGGAGGCATTTGGTCCTTTCATCCCTATCTCCATCTAGTCCTGATGTATGCTTTACAGTCAGAGGGTTTGCTTTAATTAACTTAAATGTAGAAGATCGATGGTTGTCTGCTGCAGTGCTACAGGGCAATGAGAGTCATTTCATCAAGGTAACCCCTGTTTCGGGATGCATTTCTCTAGTGGTTGTAAAATTAATTTGAAAGTTTCTCATGTACTATCAATTGACTTAAAAGTGTAACTGATTTTTAGAGGTACCTAGGGATGCAGGACACACTTCTTCTCTTGCCTGGGAAGTTTTAGCTGTGAGTTACTTTGTCACTGGAGATTCACGTGGAGATGAAAAATCAAATCTGTGAATGATTGTTGTTGTGACATGGTGGAATTTGGCAGTTTTAGGCCTATAGTTTTTTTTCTTTTTCTTAAACCACCATTTCAAGGGCCTGGAACTTTCACCTTCTTGTATATGTCATTGCTAATGAATATAATGGCCAGGAGGAAACATCCTGCTTGCTGGGTTTCAGTATAAGATACTCTGCTTCATCAAATGGCCTGAATGTTAAAACTTTTCCCCATGTCAAAGTGGCAAAATTCAGGGATTTTTTTTTCCTGTTAATGAGCAGTTCTGTAACCCTGGTGTGATATAATGGTGGTCTAGCAAAGGTTTAGTTTGTGTTTCATATATATCAATTGTGTATTATTTATACAAATAAAGAGGTGATGGATCTGGACTCCTGCTTAGCTATGGTGTTTACTAGATGTATCAGTGAGGCTGGTTTTGGATGATGGTTTTACCTGCAGTAGTAGTGATCCAAACCAAGGTATAGGTATTTTTACAAACCTTGCCTTGTTTTGTTTCATCTTTATAGCAGATTTGACTGTGATCTTGTAAAGCATTTTTCTTTGGCAGTATTTCTTGATTTGCAAGTGGCCTGGATAGATTAACCTTAAACTTGGAATTATGTTTAGTGATTGTGGTTTGTTTAAAAAATATGTAAAACTTCATTTTCTTGTTTGTGTTTTTAAATAGTCGATTGGGAACAGGTGGTTGGTCTTGTGTGAAGTGACATGCTTCTGCTTGTATCAGCTTACATGAAAACTTCACCTTTCTTAAAACACAGAAGTACTTTCTTTCCTTCTTTTTGGTAAATGTGCTTTTGTCCATCTGTTGATCTTTATTGTCTCTGTGTATTCTTTGGTATATATTCTTTTGTTCTGAATAGAACTTCTAAGCTTTAAACTTTTCATAGACAAGGAAGAGCCAGACTAGGCGTGAGAGTCTCAGTATGTTTTGTGTTTTTTTGGTTTTTGATGGTGTGTTGGTTTTTTTCCCAATTTGGTCAACAGTGTAGCTGAGGTAACTACAGAGTGCAGCATGGGGAAGTATATCAGACATAATGTTACAGAATTTTGGTGTCTAAATTTACATTTGATATTTTAAAGCACATATTTATATGTGCTGTTTTCAATTTGTAGCATGTTTGCATCTGAAAAATTGATGTAAAAGTCTACTGGAGGAACTGAGGAAGAATCTGTTGAGATTTGGTCTATATGGTACAGGTGGTATATGGATTTTAGTTACATGTGACGTATTGGCTTTCAGTTAATGGAAGCTTGTCCCCAGTAAGTTTGTTTGAAGTCAAAGCCCTATGGCTTCTGCTGTTTGAGAATTAATCTTTAAGAATGGATGTCTATTTTTGTTCTGATATGAAAAGTCTCCAACTCATGCTCTTGTTTGGGTGTGTCAGTTTGAGACTAATGAAAACAAGGAAAAAGTTGAGCATTTTAGAAATACCTTGTCTGAGGGTGTAGTCTGATAAACTTTTCTTTTGGCAGCAGTATTGGTTTAAACTGCTCCTGGCGTTTGTTTCCATTCCCATGCTGTCGCCCTTGGTTTGTGTTGGTAAAATATTTTGTGGGTCTTTGTAATAACCAAAGTTATGAATTTCTGGATTAAAAATAACTCCCGGAAGAGACTGTATTATTTCTGATGTTGATCAGTACCCCTGTTGGTTGACTGCCCAGCTTTGAAACCACTGTGCTACCTCAGTTGAGGAAGAAAGGGGAAGGAGTGTGGTGGAGACCTTGCACTGCTTAAACAGGTGCTGCTGCTGCAAGATACACTTCTTAAGCAGCTACGTCTGTTTACTTTGCAGTTTAAATTTCTAGTACTGCAGTACTTTACTTGCTTACCAGACCCCTAAAAATCCAGTTCTTTATGCTGTCGTCACTTTCACTAGAATGTCTTTAATTCTGTTGTGAAATGCTACATTTGAATTTCAAGCCTTAGTTAAGATTGGATATATACTTCTCCAGTAGTTTGAGAGTCCCTGTGTTACCATTGCTTTTTTAGACTACTGGTATATATAGATATTTGTGTTAATACCAAGAAGCCCTATTCTGAATGAGAAACCCTGTTCTAGGTTTTGAAGTAACATACAACAAAAAGACAAATTATTCTCAACCTAAAATAAGCAGCAGATGAATTAGAGATTTGAATGGGCAAGGGAATGATGAGGCAGTGCTGCTTGACATTAAGGGCTTATTATGCTAGCCCCTCATAGTCTTTTTACAGTAGACATCATGGGAAAAAGAATTTTTGGAGGAGACAAGTAAGTGTGTTTTGCAGGTGTTACAGGGAGCTCCTCTAGCCTAGGGATGGTCTTAGAGAAGGCACCAAGGTACTTGTTTGAAAATCAAATAACAAATGCTTTCTTTCTTTGTATACAAACATCTGACTACTTGAAACAATCTTGTAATATCTCAATGAAAATAGGCCTTGTTAATGTGGTGAGTTTTGGTTTGAGTTTTTTGTTGCAGTGAGTGCAATTATTTCTGCTTCCTTCTGTCAGACCAAAGAGAACACTGTACAGTAAGAAGTATGGAGTGGACCTCATCAGATACACACATGCTGCCAACACTGTTGTGTACAGCTCCAACAAAATAGATGGTAAGTGATCCACTGGAGTTGAGCACATTTATTCTCCTTACACTTAAAACTACATGCCTGGATAAATAGCTCTAAAGAGCTGGGAAAAAATTAGAGCAACTTTTCAGTGATACACATGCTGTCAGAGACACAGGAATTAATGTTCAACTTTAATGCACAACTCGGTGATATTCCCTTGAGCATGTTGACTTGAGTTTCGTTCGTTGCTGCAATAACTAAAGGATTAAACATTGTTAGTGCGATAACAGTTCAGTTCTCGATTCTGCTGTTCGCTTTGCTGTTTGATACCAGTGCCACCAGCCTCCATGCCTTAATTTCTTATGTGTGAAAAGAGGTAGAAGGAGCGTGTGGCCAGAAGGTGGGCCGTAGCTCTGATACACAAGTCAACTGCCAAGGAAGGGAATATTTTTCCATTCTCAGCAGCAGGGAGGGCAGGAAGTTCAGGTAACTCAGCAGATCACTAGCCAAGCCTGGAGGACATCACAGAGCTCTTCTGAGACTAGCTTTGCTTCTCTTAATCTGTTTTTTCCATGTAATAGACAAAAACCCATTTTCATGCCATTTTGCCACAGTCAGTGTCTGTGATAGCTCCACTCTGTAAATCGGTGACATTGAAGGGCTTCTAGAGCTTCGTGACAGGCTCTCTATTAATGTATTTGTGTTTAATTTAAAATTCAAATTTAAGAACTGGCAAAGATAGGTACATTAATTCTTCTATCAGGCAATACTTCCTAAGGTTGGAAACTGCTAGTGTTAATTTCAGATTTTGTCTCAATTTTCTTTGTTGTAGTCAGTGTCTGAGAGTTTTTCAGTGAACAAGTCTCTTAGCACAGCACTTTATAAATGGGCTTTAACATTGTATTTGTAAACTCATATAATAATTTCTGGAATAGTGGTTTTGGTTTGGTTTTTCCTTTGCAGAGATGAAGCTTGACAGTAGAGATACTGGTGCCTTGTGGTGTGTGTGCTAGGTTACTTAAGGAATTTAAAAGTGTGAATTTAGAGCAGATGGAAGTTAAGAGTTAGGAAGTCGGGTTAAACTAGAACAAGCTGGGCCTGAAACTAGAGGAACAAGGACGTTTCCAATGGAATTGGATTTAATGGTGTAAAAGGATTAAAAGTGTGATGGGAAGCACTTGCCTTTTTAGTCTGTTTCACAGCCTACATATTTTTTTATTTATTAAGTTATTACTTTGTTATGTCACATTTCTATCTGGCTGTTACTTAATTAACAAGTAATTAACAATTAACAATTTAATGAACTATTTTAATGCCATTTTGAATTGTGAGTTTTTGTTTATAAGCACTGGTAAGCCTTTGAGGAACCAAACCTTAAAAAGAGTCTTCATCCTGCAGGGTAGTGTTATGATAAATACTTAACTAGAAGAAAAGAAAAAGATAGAACGTGAAAGTATTTGTTGCTGTTACGAACTGTAATCCCAATAAAGACAGCAGTGTGTTCCATAGGGGTCCAGATACTCTGTAGTCCCTAATGCATGCAGTCTTGGGCAAGGTGCATTATATTTAACCTGTTAACACAGTTATTGGGAGGGAAAATTAACCCAGGAGCATGTTATAGGAGGGCTGGCACTTGCTTCCAAGCATTTTGTGTGTTGGACTTGCTACTGATCCACTTACTTCTGAAGATTTCCTCAAGACCTCTGAACTTAATTCCTCTTGCCTGATTCCAGGCTGAGGTAGTAGTTTGTACAGTTTGAGGGTCTATGATACCACCCGGTACAGGAGATAACTGTACAGGCCACTGCCTTGCCTGGGACAGAGCGCTGCCAACAAAAAGGATCACAAAGGATGACAGTTCCCCAATGTTTCCTCTTTAGCAAAGGAAGATGAAATTCTGCATGGATACTTTGGAAATCAGGTAATGACAATTCTTGCACCAAAAACTAGAGATGTGTCTTTTAACAGCATGCTTGAAGCACACCAGTTCTAGCCATGATGGGATGTGACACTGGTGTTGGGGATTTATGTTTTGGATAGTCACCTCAGGTCACTTGGGGCCTTTCAGAATGATATGTCACCAGCATCGTGTTTCCAGCTTGATCAGTCAGCTTTACTTTTCTCATCTGGAGGGTGGTCTAGAACTCTGATCTCAGCTTGATGTGAAACCTCAGGCAAAAATGGTAACTTGATCACTTTTTCACAGCAACTAAATGTTGCTGAATGAGCCTTTCAAAAAGCTCTGAACACAGGAGCCCTTATGAGTGTTAAAATGCTCTGTGTATATTGCATCCTGTTGGCTCTTGTTCTTCTGAGTCAAAAGTAAAAAATGTCCTTTTCCCTCAGTTTATCTTTGGAGCCTTAGCAGGACTACTTGTTAACAGTAGTATGGAGTCTCTTGGCACTGTATGGTGCAGGTGCATAATGCTGATCTCTTCCATCCAGCCATAGCTTAAACTAGTGTCCTCTAACTAGTGTGAGAAGAGATTTTGCTGATGCTGCTTTCAGATATCAGAGGTTTAACTTGTGCTCTTCACGTTTCATCACTCAGATGGATCTGCACATAAAGATTAAAAAGTGGCTTCTGCGCTTTAATAATTGTTACCTCTTACAATGTTTTCTTTTAATTTTGGGAGAAAGTCTTAACAGCATCTTCCAAAATTCTGGGCTACTCTTGGTATGTTGTTTATATTCACAATAAAATTACCACTTGAGAAATGTTGTAGTGACACTCTGATTTATTCAATGTATTTTTAAGATTGCTTTAAGTAGACTAAGCTTTACATTATTACTCTGTCCTTTTCTCAAAGCTTAACTGCTCATAGTGCAGAGAATGTGTGAAGCTGTTGATTGACAGATTAAAAAAAGAGAGATTTGCTACTTATTAATGGTCTTGTCCTGGCTTTGAAGTTCATATTTTTATCTCCTCTGTGGCTAAATGCTAGAATTCACACATTTCCTATGCTTACTGTTTAGTTTGAGACTTATTTGCTGGATGTGTACATGGGTGAGATGGCAAGATTCATTCTGTATAGCAAAAAAAAAAGTGGTAGTATCAACTTTGTGGATTTGATGCTCTCAATTCTGTGAGAATGATGGAATAAAACCTACTGATACTTAAATTTTAGCAACTTTGAAATTAACTTGCATAAATTATATGACAGTTTGTCTTTAAGATGTAATACAACTTCAGACTGTGGGAAGTGACTTTCCTGGTGCTTGATTTCCAGTTCTGCCTTGGAAACCAAGTTGCGTTATGCCTATTTCTAACTTGATTGTGTTTCAAAGTCTGAGCTGAAATCAGATGACCAGACTTACTCACTGGGGCAGGGTTGCTGTTGCTGTGGGGAGCAAGTTTACTGTGTGACTGCTTTTAGATAACATCGGGTTTATGGTATAATAAAGCTTATGGTTTGTTTATGGTTTCAGATACAATCCGATACCTCTCCCTGCATGACAACAAATACATCCGGTATTTCCCAGGGCATACAAAAAGGTAAGATGTGGCTTTGGGGACAGTACAGGAGAAACTGAAATAATGATTGTAATGAGCTTGAGTTATGTTATACTCAATTTGCTCTGGTTTTGGCTTTGTAGAACTGTTCATGGCAATCATGAGCTTGTACACAACTGTTGGGGTAGGACACACTTCTTTTGCGTGTGTATGATGCATGTGGTCTTCTGTGTTGCAGAGTGGTTGCTCTTTCAATGTCTCCAGTGGATGACACTTTTATTTCTGGATCCCTGGATAAAACTATTCGACTTTGGGATCTCCGCTCTCCAAATTGCCAGGTAGGATATCAAATTCATGTGTGTGGTGTGTTTGCATTTTCAATTAGAAGGATAAAAAATGGATGCGTGCTTGTTACAAACCAAAAATACCTCCAGAAATATGTGCGGTGTTGACACCTTCCTGGAATGCTGAAGGAGCCTTGATCACAAGTCTCTGTGAAATATGTATGTCGCATTGTGTAACACCACTTGTTTTCACCTATGTCTCTGCTGGAGAGGCGCTGGGAAGAGCAAGAAATAACACCCACAGCTGATGAAACAAGAGAAGAGCTGGGTGTCATCAGCTTGTTCATCAGGCTGCTACCCCATGCAGAGAATGTTCTCTCTTAACTGGCATCTCTCCTGGGTTGGTAATGGCAGCAGAAGGGGCAATGGGAGATGCATTTTATCTGAGTGTTTATAGTGTGTTTGTGTTTAAAATTGATGCCTTGATGCAATTAAATTTGATGAAGAAACTAATGATCTAAAGTAACACAGCAGCCATATGGTCTACCCCTTCCTTGCATCACCTTTGTTGTTCATCAGACCTGTTTGTGAGCAGATTTAACTTTCTAGCAAGGCAAAACCCTATTTGTTTTTATTTATTTATTTTGCTGGAATAGTTTACTTTTTTTAGTGGAAGCGGGCTTGCGTGGGCTGAGAAGAGTACCAGAGCTGGCAGCAGGGGCAGGAATGAAAGACCAGGAGCAGAATCTCCACCTGTTACTGGTGATGAGCTGTTTTGTCCCTTTATCTGGACACGTAGTGTTGTGCTCACATATTTTCCCATCTCACTGGGACCATTTTGCTTATGAGAGGGGGCTATTTACTTATTTCAGATGATGTAACTGTAAATGCAAAAGAAAAGGTTACATTTCTTACAGAATGGTTTCATCTGTCTTAAACCCAAGCTTTTTCTGACAAGAAATCTTAATTTTGCCTTTCTCTGGGAGTATGCCTTTAATGCCAGTGTGTAAGTTTCCCTTGAGATGAATCTCAATCTCAGAGTTGCTACAGATGAGATAGGGTTGTAAATTCAGTAGCAGTTCTGTGATTTATGCTAATGCCTCAAGTTGTAAGAATGGTAAAACTAGGACTTGTAACTGGAAGCTGCATCCAGCAAAGTTTGGGAAACAGGTCGAGGAAATGTTACTTGTAATTTTCAATTTGCCCGTGAGATGGCAGCCGTAGTGCCTAGAAATATTACTGGGGAACCAGAGATGTCCCACTTGGTGAGGGCACTGAGTATTAGCTAGCCTAGCCTTCAGAGATCACAGGGGAAACTGACCTAAATTGGAAAGAAGAGAGAAGTAGTGAAGTCTCTAGACTTCTCTAGAGAAGAATGGTATTTCAGAAATGCAGAAACTTCTTCAATGTATTGTTGATTTAATCGAAGATGTGTTTTTATTTATGTGCATACAGTTACATAAAGACATTTAGCTAACACGCACAGACCTGCCAGTCAGGGTACAGAAAATTACACATCTTGTTCCCTTTTACCAAATTTTCTCAAGTCTTTTCTACTGTGTGAGTTAAGGAAAAGTTAACATTAAAAATAAGCACTGATAGTAATCTGTCAATTTTAATATGTAAGGTTGATTGGCTTCCAGAAGGTATGAGTTTTCATTAAACAAGCATGGAAAGTTCAGCGGTGGTGTTCACTGGAGCTGTTTCTACTTGCTTTCAGAATACTTTTTTTCCCCCTCCTTTGCAAGTGTAATGGTAGAGCGTTGCTGTCAATCCCAGCAGCAGTGTTTTGTGGCACTGTCTGGTGTGGTTATTAGTACAGCCACATCATCTTCCCTTCTCTGGGTACTTTTTGAGTGGATGACAGCTCTAATCAGGCCTTGATTTGTTCTGATGTAAATTTTGTCATTGGAGCAAACTGGAAGCTCCGTATGACGACCTGAAGTAGTCAAGAGTTGCTTTTAAGAAGCTGAGTTCTGAACCTCTGTAAAACCTCAATATTTACAGTTGAAATTCAGTTGTTCCACCCATAGGCTGCTGTCCTGCTCACAGTGGGCTCAAAGGGTGGTGGTAGAAATGTGAGCATCAGTGTCACAAAATAATTCGGACTACTTCTATTTTCTAGGGTTTGATGCATCTCCAAGGGAAGCCTGTGTGTTCTTTTGACCCAGAAGGGTTGATTTTTGCTGCTGGAGTCAATTCTGAAATGGTGAAGCTTTACGATCTCCGTTCTTTTGACAAGGTGAGCGAACTTCACTTCTTACCCTTTTTAGCTTGCAAGAAGTAGTCTAAACTCAGTGCTCAGAGGCTGGATTTGTTTACTCCAGCTTACTATCTGGGGTGCCTACTTGGCACCTAGAGAGTTTTCAGTAAGTACACATCTCATGGACAGAGAGCGGTACGTGCTGTCACCAAATCCTGAAATCCACTCTTGAACCGATGCTAAAGTTTACTTCCGCTGACTCTTTAACCTGTTCCAAACTTCTGTTTAGGCTTTTTCTTGTTGTTGGGTTTTGGTGTTTTGGATTTTTTTTCCATGCTGCTTATTCTGGAAGAACACTGGCAAAGATGGAGCCAGGATTGTCAGAAAGGATGGAAATTTCAAAGGAAACCATAATTGGGTGGGCAGTTAAACTGGCTAAGCACTGAGCATAGTTAGTTCCATGGTTTTCAGAAAGTCAGATGACAATAACACTGGCTCAAGCTCTTTCTCTAACTTCAATTAGCAGCCTTGTTTGAAAACTTCATCCTACCTTAAATTAATTTCTGTTGTTAAATGTGGTAGAGTATGGGACTATTGGGTATTGAAATACACTACTGTGGCTCTCTTTTGCTATGGAAACTGTAGATTCATACTTTGAAACTTACATGTGCAGTAACATGTTTTTGCCATGACATATTCCTTTGGTATCTTAGGACTAAAGATTTTCTTTTGAAAAAATCTTACAAGGTTAAAAGCAGACTCTTGTTAGCAGCAATGCATACAGATATTTCCCATTTTTTCTTTGAAGGGGCCATTTGCTACATTTAAAATGCAGTATGATCGAACATGTGAATGGACAGGCCTGAAGTTCAGTAATGATGGCAAACTCATTCTCATATCGACTAATGGAGGGTTCATTCGACTGATTGATGCCTTTAAAGGAGCTGTCCTGCATACATTTGGGGTGAGCATGTTGCCTGTGTTACCTGCTTGAAACTTGGTGTTAAGTTTTGGGAGCAGATGCCCTTTGGTTGCGAGATTACTGTGAACACGCTCTCTACTACATATTCTCCTGTTTTGTGCCATAGGGTTATAACAATAGTAAGGCTGTCACGCTGGAGGCATCATTCACACCAGACTCTCAGTTCATCATGATAGGTAAGATAATTTTTCTTGAAAGAATTTCAGTGCTCTGAAATTAGATGTGTTATATAGGACTAAAGTTGTGTCTGTGTTGGGAAGCAGAATGTATTTACATAATACAATGCAGCTGTAAGCTTTCTCTGCATTGGCAGTTTTCTGTTTTGTTAGTTTACTCAGCATTTTCTAGACTGAAATGTAAACAAGCCTGCAAGAAGACTTTTTTTTTCCTTTATATATGAATGCTATTCCAAAAACGATAAGAAACTGGCAAACTATTGTAATGCGTGGAGATCTGTCACATAATTTATATCAATGATCCTTAGCCGATGGCTAGGGTGCACTCATGTGCTGCCTCTGAAAGTGTTTTGGGGCAGTATGTTGTGGCCTGCCCTCCATTACCTGATGAGCGAGGCACCTGTCTCTGCTGGGGGGATTGGTCTCATAGCCTGGTGCATTTGTACACCTTCTGGGGACATTCCTGCACTGGTGAGGTGCTGGGGCAGCTGCATTTTGTTCATGTGGCTCTTGTAAATCCCCGTGTCTGTGGAACAAGCTCTGCTTAACCCTTGATAAAAACAGTAGGCATCAGCCTGATGGCTCCCAGCATGATTCCTCTGGCCCAGGCCCCCTTCCTCATCCCCTGCAGGAGGGACTCTTGAGTGAAGTGGGTGGCAAAAAGCAGTTGCAGCTTCTGTAGAGCCTGGTGCTGCAGGTTGGGCACCCCAAGGTGAGTGCTTCAGTCACTCTGCTACACCGTGCTGTCCAGCTGGACCCATGAACGCAAGTCAGATGCATTTGTGTGGTGCTGTCCTCTCCTAGCACTTCCTTTTTGTTCTTTCTTATACGCCTGGTACATCAAATATGTTTAACTTTGTGGTAATTGCTATCCTGATCCTCATTTTTCCTGGACGAGTGATGTCTTGGAAAAACTACTTTTTACTGTTCTGGCTGAGAACTTCCCAGTTGCAGAGAAGCTGGGGAGGGGTGGTTCTTTGTTTATCTGTCTCTGGAGAGCACTTTATTGCACATACTTACCTTCCTATTGTGCCCTTCCAAATGAAAACTATAGTGGAAGAAGTTCCAAAACACTTCTGTACAGTTTTTACATATGGTTAAGTTGTAACTTGTGGTGCTTACTTTTTCTTCCCTGAAAGGCTATATATAAAAATACAGAAGCAGAAGAAAATTCCTTGCATTTTTATTAGGAATTCTACCTAAAATGAGACTAAAGCAGAATTGAATTATAAAAGTATTAAGTGCCCAGCCTCAGAGTTTGCAAAATGCCATTTTAAAGTGAAAAACCTGTCCTGTTGTAGCAATGTGGAGAGTTGACATCTCCAGTGAAGCTTCTGGTATTTGGCATAGTGCATTGAAATCTGGTTATCTTCAACGGTAAAGTCTTTGATTCTGTGCTCACCAAGTGAAATATTTATCTCCTCCTGTGTCTGAACTGAGAACTTGTGTGAACAGTGACTCTTACACCCAGCTTTTGGCCTCTTGCACATCGGTGTGAGTGGGAAGGGTCTTTCATCCTTAGTTGCATGGTGTCAGCTCTCCTTTTCTACTGGGTGACCATAGTTGTTAACCTCTTCACCAGAATAATGTTGCACTGTGGTGTGTAGCTGTGTCTCTGCAGTGCAAAGATATAAACCTGCTGTTTGGATACAGGTGTGTAAACTCTAGTGATGTTTTGTAAATGCCCTAGTGGTAATTTTAAAGGTTAAACTAGGAAGATGAGGCATGCTTGTTCCTATAGTTCTCTGACAGAAAAGGTTATCTACTTCGTTTTCTCTGCTGGCCTCTCCAATATATCTTGCCTATCTTGTTTTCCACTCCTGCCTACAGGTTCGGAGGATGGGAAGATTCATGTTTGGAATGGGGAAAGTGGGATGAAGGTGGCTGTGCTGGATGGGAAACACACAGGTCCTATAACCTGTCTGCAGTTCAATCCAAAATTCATGACCTTTGCTAGTGCATGTTCCAATATGGTAAGGAAAGTGTTTTAAGTTCCTCGTAGCTCAGTGAGGTGCTGACCCTTTTAGAAATGAATCTGAGAAGGCTCAGTGCCACTGATGGGTGTTTCCTTGGGCTTTGGTGAGAGCCAGGCCCCTGTCTGTCCTGCCTTGATTGTGCCTTACCTGGCAGGTAGATATGTGGGGCAATACACCTGGCAAGCTGGCATTTGAACACACACACGAAAGCAGAGCAGTGAGTGCACGCACACGCAGAAGTATGAGTTCTTTAGGTCACTGTACACGGCTGGTATTTTCAGTTTGTGTAAGACTGGCTTGCTCTGGAGAATGTGCAATGCAAACCAAACCAGCGTAAGCAAGGATTGTAACCGTAAACTGCTGGGAGGGTGTTGCTGTCTCTTTGGTAGTCTGCCTGTGTGCTTATAGAAGGTAGCAGTGATCAGCTCCTACAGTGTTTTGTGACAGAGGTTTGTATTCTGCTCTGTAAAAGATACTTGTTCTTTCCTCTTTTGTAGGCCTTCTGGTTGCCAACTATCGACGACTAATTCCTATGCTGCAGCTGCTGTTGGATGACTTCCATACTGCTAACAGCAGCACATCATTGCAAGCATAGTATTGGAATTGCCTAGGTCTCCTAGACTGTGTTCCTGTTCCTGCGTGTGTTTCCATATGTCTTACCTTCATTTGCTGCATTCCTTTACGAGGACTCTTCCACTTGGTCTCCTAGTGTGTTCAGAAGCAGCATACTACATGTTTTTACCTTCCAGTCCGTGCCCAGCAGGCTTCAGCTGAAGTTGGAACTGACACAGTATTATTTCTAAGAGCAATGAAGTCTGTTTTACTTACAAAATGTTTGTGGCATTTTTTAAGCTGTAATTGTGTGTTTTCCTTCTGTAAGTGCACAAGGCTATTGATGTTCCAAGGTGGAACGTGCAGTTCCTTCCCATAAGTGCATGTTTTTCACATCTGGGATCTCTGGTTTCACTGCAGTCCACAGATGGAAAGTTACTGCTGTGCCAAATGTGAACACTGACAGTTTTCAACTTAAACAGCAGGTGCTGGATTCTCCTGCAGTGGAACATGTGCCGAAAGAGTGGGTGATTGTAAATAAGCATTATACATCCTGTCATCCTTTTTTTTGGCAATTTAGCGTGCAACAAACCATACAGGTTTTGTCCACTGCCAGAGGTTGCCGAAGCCTCCCTGCTGTTTGCTGTGCCAGCATCCTGGAGGGCGCAGACAGTGCTGATGAGGTCTGGTCAGTATCCCAAGCAATAAAGGAGTCTGTCAGGGAGTCTGGCAGCAGGAAGATGGAGAAACCAAACTGAGACTGAAAGCACAGTCTGCCTGTCTATCTTCCTTATGTATCAACTTGGCTGATCTTACCTGTAAATATCGTGGGGGGGAGGGCAGTGGGAATGGGACATATTTTTTTACTTTTAGATATTAAAGAATATTATGTGGGCCAGTATTGTGGGGTGTCTAGGCTGTTTACCTTCACTGATGCAGTTTTCCCTTCCTGGTTTGTAAATAAGCTCCATTAAATTCTCCCCATGCAGGCTTACACCTGTATACCTTTGTTGATAAAACTGGCGTGCAGTTAGTTCATCATGCATTTTGTTATTGGCCCCGCAGGTTTTCATCAATAGCCCCAAAAGAGTGACACTTCCTTTGTCAGATGGTGTCTTCAGAATTGAATTTTAAAAATCTTACATGTGACTGTGCTGACTGCTTTGCTGTGGCCCTGTGCCAAGGAACACCCCTGCAAAGAGATGCGAGGGACGTGCTCTCCTGCTCCAGAGGGGCTTGTGGGCATATGGCACAGAAAGGCTGGCAAGCTGGCCTTCAAGCCTGGTTCCAGTTTCTTTTTCCTGACTGCATTGATCAAATGCATCCACCAGCAGGCTGGGACAGGCTCGGTGTAAATGTGGTGTTCATTGTATTCTTGCCTTTCCAAACACACTTGGTTTTATGTGCTGGGTCACAGCTTGGAAAGTCAATTCTTTCCCTCACCCAGTCACGTGTGCTTCCCCTCTCCTAAATGTAAAATGCTGGGTAAGGTGACAAGCACAGTAATGGGCATGTTCTTTCTGCTCTCAGGTGCCAGTCCATACTGGAGAACAGTGCTCGAGCATTTTACCTTAGGTCAGTTGTCCAGATGTTCCCCTATTACAGCAAAGTTCATCTCAACTGTGGGGCCCTGTATGAAATTCAGAGCATGTCTCCCTGGAAAAGTAAATCAGCTTGTAGAACAGCTTCTTCTGTTTTGCTTTTCCTTGCCTTTTTCTTTTTTTACAGCCCTTGTCAGTGGCAACGTGCTGTGCTAAGAGCTGAGGATGGGGAATGAGCATTTCTCCACTGCTGGTTCCTTTAAAGTAGCAGCACGTGCTGAGCTGCAGCGTTTGCCTGTGACAGTTGCAGGAGGACCGCCTGCGGGAGGCGGTCTGATAAACTTGATGTTTGAATGGATTCTGTGGTTGAAGCTTCTCCTTAGGCTCCGTGGCTTGTCTCTGCTGATGTTACTGCAGGAGTTTAGAGTTATTTCTAATGGCACGAGCCTGTGATGTGTTTGCCATCCTCCAGACTGGAGGAGGGAAGGGAACAGCGGACTGATGCTTTGGATCTTGCCAAACAGGCCTGATGTTGGAGATGAAGATGAGAGATTCGTACTGCTACACCAGCATCCCTCTTCCCAGCATGTCCTGTCCCACTGTCACCTGTAAACGCCCAGCAGGAAGGGAGATGTTTATCTCTGTCCTCACAGTTGACTAGGCTTCCACCTCTTCAATTCAGTATTGTTGCATTTCAGGCTGCTTGGTGCTATTTTACCATTGTTGGTGTTTCTGTAAGCAGCCATATTTTGCAGTGGTTTGTAACATACAGGTACTTGGGGTTTGTAGTGCATTTTAACAGTTAAACTTCAGTGTTCAGTAGCAAATTGTCTTTCGGGGTTTTACCAACTCTGTTGCCTGAAGAAGCGAACAGATAGCCCCCAGCCATTTTTCTTGTTACTTTTCAAAGGGAAGCATTTGGAAGTCTTTTTTACAAATGCCCTTTGCTAATGTGGTTTGAGAGCTTGTCTAAAGACTCTTGTTCAGCTCTCTTCCGCTTCCAGTGTTGTAAAACATTGTGTGTTGCAACATGAAATATTTTAAGAAAAAGAGGACCAAAGGACCAATCTAGAAGGACACACACACTAAGAACATCAGTGGCTTTCCAGAGCTAAGATAAATTTACAAGTTCGTGGACAACACAGCACTAATGCTCAGTTCAGAATTAAAGCTGAATGCCTTCCCAGGGCCAGTCGCCACCCACACAGGCAAAGACATCTTTCTTGGTTGATGTAGCACTGAGTGTTTTCAATCTGCCTTTAAAAGAGGGAAATGTGCCAAGTATTGTCAAGAAACTTGAGTATTGCATGTTTCTAGAAGGTTAGACAGGAAAGGTGAATAAAGCTTTTAGCTTCCAGCTTCTATGTGCTTCTCTAAAAGTACCAGGACTGCAGTTCTGTGCTGTTCAGGGCAGCTAATTGAGAAATGGACCTAATTTTAAAAACAGCTCTCCGAGCTCTAATGGAGTGTCCAACCTTATGTAAAGGCAAGCAGGAAACAGCATTCCCCCTCCAAATTTGACATTTAAAAGATGACTCCCCCTCCCCCATGTTCTTTGGGATGAAGTAAAGACCTTCCTTCAAAACAAGGGGGAAGTGAGACTCAACAGCGCACCTCTAAATACACAGTGATGGTGGCTGAGGACATCTGCTTGGGCTGTAGGAGATTTCGGGTGTAATTCTCCTCTCCAAGTTAATGTTTGAAAGACTTCTTTTTTTTTTTTTTTTTTTTTTTTTTGAGGCTTGCAGGTTGTTGATTAATGTCCCTACCCCTGCTCTGGGGGACACAGGAGCAACTGAGTGAACAAATTTGGAAGCAGCAGTGTATCTTTTCCAATGCCTCTTGACTATATTTGCACTTTAAGAGACGTCACCTTGGTTTGGGGTCAGGGGCTAGGACCCTGGCAGGCCTTTCAGAAACTGGTCTCTGGTTGTGAACCGGTACGGGGAGGTTGACTCCTAGGTGGTATCTGCCAGATGAGTGTAAATACATAAAGTCAAATTATGCTTTGTCACAAAATACTACGTATGTGGATAATTCAGTGTTGTGGCTGTTACCAATAAATATTTTGTAGAGAGATCACAGAGTGCTGTAAATTCTGCATTTGTCTGGTGTGATATCAACTTGCTGGTTTCTTAGGGGGGGAATGGGAAAATCCATTTTTTTTTTAAAAGCCCCTTTGTTTTGGAAAGTCAGGAGCTCTGTAGTAGAAATGGTGATGCTCTGAAGCTATCCCTACATAAATTGCCCATTTTAAGAGGCTTCTCTTGCCTAGGAATGTATCAGGATAGGGAAGCAGACTTGTGACAGCTACTTACTGAGTTATGGTGCCCTAGGTGGAGGGGCATTCACAGAACCCTGTGGTCTGGATGGAAGAGCTGAG